CAACACTGATTGGACCACGTATATTGCACAACATCGATTGCAGCACATAAAGAGCACCACCTACATAGCAACGCACATATTGCAACACATAGACTGCACCACATAGGTCGCCCTACATCGATTGCAACAGATAGATTGCACGACAAATCACGGTGGCGGCGCGCTTTTTGATCGATCAAAAAATTGGGGTGAACCACGTAGATTCTCCTATCTAAAAAGAGAATAGATTCTACTCCCCCTCCCGGACTTATCCGTTCCCCTTTCGGGTCTGTAAATCATATATGATTCTGACCACTCGTCCATCCGAAATATGAAATCATATCATCCCAGCTAGGCCAGGTTCCCTCCTTTGAGGTTCCCTTGTAAAAAACACTATGCGGTGACATGTTTTGTTCTAACATAACACTTTTTCACGAATCCCTTGCAACAAATGGGCCGAAGTGCACACGCGCGCGTCGTCGCGCGCGTCGTCGCGCGCGCATGGCGAAATCCTTCAAAAACCTTTGGTGCCGGAAGGATGTCGCAATCGAGTTTCCAAAAAAACATACAATAACACAGGGTTTCGCAACACTGATTTGCTAAAAAAGCTTCCGCGCGAGCTCTTGCGAAATCTTAAGAAAACCATAGGTTTTTCAACATATTCACAACATGCTACCAAACGGGCTTCGCGCGCGCGCATGTCGAAATCTGTCGAACGCCCTTGCGCGTGTGCCGTCGCGAGAATCCTTTGCAAAAAATTTGACGAAGTGCAGACGAGCGCGTCGTCGCGAGCGTATGCCGGAAACCTTCGAAACCCATCAGTTTCGGAAGGATTTCAAAATCGTGCATCCAAAAAACCTACAAAAACCTAAGGTCTCGCAACACGGATTTTCAACAAAAGCGTGCGCGCGCGCTCTTGCGTCGTCGTCGTCGTCGTCGCTGTCCTCCCTCCTCCCGCGTCGTCGTCGTCGTCGCCTACGTCGTCCTCTGTTTTTTCTCGTGTTCGTCGTCGTCGCTTTTTGGCGTCGTGGTCGGTTCCGTCGTCGTTGTCGCGGTGGTCGTCCGTCCTCCTCCTCCCACGTCGTCGTCGTCGTCCGTCGTCGGCGTCTCGTCGTCGGTTCTATTTCGTCACTGTCGTCGTCGTCGTTGTCGTCGTCGTCTTCCCTCTTCCCTCGTCGTTGTCGTCGTCGGCGTCGCCGTCCTTCCTCCTTCGTCGTCGTTCGCGTCGTCGCCGTCCTCCCTCCTACCTCGTCGTTGTCGTCGTTGTCGTCGTTGTCGTCGTTGTCGCCGTCGTCGTCCTTCCTCCTCCCTCGTCGTCGCCTTCGTTGGCGTTGTCGTCGTCTTCGTCGTCGTCGTCGTCGGCGTCGTTGTCGTCGTCGAAGTCGTCGGAGACGTCGTCGGTGTCGTCGTCGTCGTCGTTGTCGTCGGTGTCGTCGTAGTCCGTCTTAAGAGGTTTTGCAAACCAAGTTGCGGGTGGGAGGGTGGGATGTTTGCGCGAGCAGTGGAGAGGTCAGCTTCAAGTTGAGCAAGTGATTGATTGCACAACGTAGATTGCACCACATGAATTGCACGACCAATATCGCACAACACAGATTGCACCACATTGGTTGCACTACGCGTATCTCACAACATCTAATGCACCACATAGACTGCACAATTCGCCGGCCCAACGGGCCAGAGGCGTGCTAAGATCTCCCGTAACTGGTAAACAGTATTTCTAGTTCGCGCGCGCGGGGCGGCCCCTGGGGGTCCCTGGATCAAAAATACCCCAGGAGGAGCCCGGGACACGCCCGGGACACGCCCGAGACACGCCCGGGACACTCCCCCAGATCCTCCAGGATCGCCCCAAGAGGGCCCCAAGAGGCCCCCAACACAATCCAAGAGAGGTCCGAGACGCCCGAAGATCGCTCCACGGCGCCCAAGATGGCCTCCAGACGGCCCAAGACGTCTCCAAGATGACCCAACAAGCCTCCAAGATGCCCCAAGAGACCTCCAGGAGCACTCCCAAGAGGGCCCCAAGTGGCAAACATCAATGCTTCTTCTTAGGTCTTGGACAGATTTGGGCGTTTCAACCTTTTCGGTTCCCCGACGCCCCTAAACGGCTCAAGAGGCCTCCAAGATCGCCCCAAGAGGGCCCAAGAGGCCTTCAAAAGGGCCCCAGAGGCCTCCAAGACGGCCCCAGAGGCATCCAAGACGGCCCAAGAGGGCCCCAAGAACGCCCCCAACACGGTCAAAGAGAGGTCCGAGACGCCCGAAGATCGCTCCAAGACGCCCAAGATGGCCTCCGGACGCGTGCGGATGCTTACGACAACCGTCGGTTTTCCTACATGCTTCATCACATTCTGCCAAACAGGCCTCTCGCGCCGCACGTCGAACTCATTCGTGCGCCGTTGCGCGCGTGCTGGCTGAGGGGGGGGCAGGATCCGTGTCAAATAATACCACGCGGGCCACTTGCGCGCATCAGCCGCGCGCGTGTCGAACTCCATCTAAAGCCTTCATCGCCGACGCGAAAACATCATCAACATCATCCTCATCATCGTCAGCATCATCATCAGATCGGCGTGCGCGATCAACATCGGCGACGCCACTGGCTTTGCCGTCGTCATCGCCACCATCGCCACCATCATCGTTACTTTCATAAATCGCGTCTACCGCTGCCGGCGTCGCCATGGTGCCGCCTCCGCCCAAGTCGCCGACTCGCACTGAAGTGCCCGCTGAGAAGAGCCCAGCGGTCACCGCCACCGCGGCCGCGCCGGTCGCGCCAAGCTAGCTGGCCGCTGTGCGCGCGAGCATGCACGGGCTAGCACGGCCGGAAATAATGTTTGCAAGAGCATGGGATGTCTCAACTCGCTCGTGAAATCCATTTCACATCCTAAATCGCACCACATATATATTGCACAACACGTATCGCCCCACATAGATTGTACCACCTAGATCGCTTCACATAGACAGCACCACATGCACTGCTAAAAACGTACTGTTTGGCGTGCACGCTGGCTAACTTAATGATAAAGTATGACGGAGGAGGGGGAGGACGACGACGACAACGTCGACGACAAGGACGAGCTGGACGATGAGTTGGAGGTCGAGGAAGAGGGGGGGAGGACCAGAAGGGGCAGAAGGAGAAGAATGACGTAAGGGGGGGGGCGAGTGGATTCCTACTCTGGTCAAAATGCACCCTGTGGCACGTCCAGGGACACAGAAAAATGGTCGCGACGAATATAACGCCACACCGTATCCTTGGAAGCACACATGGACAAAAAGGGTTCACAATGAGCCCTGGCCCTTTTGTGTTCGAGGAGAGGCGGAGTGAGAACCCAGACGATTTCTGGGGAGGCGGCGGTAGCGTTCGGCGCGTTGGCAACCACATGGTCACACGCACACGCCCTCCCACGCACCAAGATACGCACAGCCGCGTGACTAAACGGAATAAGGAAGAATGCGAACAGCCGCGGGAACCTCTGGGTGTTGCAGGCGCACAGGGAGCGGCGTATCCGAGGCGGTGGCCGCTGTGACAGGGCGCGCACCCGTCTCCTTTCTGGACATGCTGTCTGGGGACTTGACCCGAATGTTGAAATCGACAAAACGTGGAAGAACGGCGCACATACACGACGTGGAGATTGTACGTGGTGCTTTAACGTAGTGCTTACGTAGGGTGGATTGCACGTACTGCTTCTCTTACGTAGTAGTAGCACATCATGCTTTTACGTAGTGGTTTCACGCAATGCCTATGTACGTAGTTCGTTGTATGTGATACGATTGATTACTAATTGCTGTAGCGGATTACGTAGTGGCTTACGTAATGTATGTACGTGTTGTGTTCACGTGGTGTATTCACGTAGTCACAGCGTCCCCATGTAGCAGCATCGCATGAGCACCCCAGCAACATCCCAGGATCATAGTTCATTTGCGTAGTGCTTTTGCGCAACATCCCAATGTACTGCTACTAATACTTCTACGGCTACTACGACTACGACTGCGACTACTACTTCTGCTACGAGTGCCACTACAACAAGTACGAGCACTACTACGAGCTCTTTCTACGAACCAGCGCACGATGTAGCGAATTGTCTTCCAATCCTTGCAAAAACAAGCTCCAAATTCCTGTCGTGCAGGAAATAGACCAGGCTCCATTATCCTTTGGGAGGAATGACTACCCAACAATATCCAACACGGCGGCCAATAGTGCACAAATATTTCCACGCGCTGCAACCACAGAACACGCTCACCACAGCTTTGGCGCGCTCTCACTGCGGACCACCACCTGTGCGACTCCCAGAAGAAGACGACGACGATTACGACAACGACGATGAAGACGACGCGCCGACCCGATTGGAGATGTAACGAATTAGTGTGCAATAACTGTACATACAAGCAAAATCCTCTGTCGTGCAGAGGGAGGGGCCCATGAAGCAATACCCGATGGGAAGAATAACGGCCCAACAAAACCCAACACGGCGAACAATAGTGTGCCAATAATTCCACGCGTGGCCAACACCGAACAAGCTCAGAACAACTATGGCGAGCTCTTACTGTGCACGGTCACTTGCGCGAGCCCCACATGAAGACGGCGACGACGACGACGACGACGACGACGACGACGACCGCGACGATGACGACACGGGCGAGGAGACGAGGGCGACGACCAGGGCGAGGAGGGGAGGGCAAGTAGGAGAGGGAGGAGGGAGAGCGAGGAGGAGGGCGAGGAGGAGAGGAACGACTATTCCCAGCCGAGAGCTTAAAGGGGGAGGGGGGGAAGCCCCCCCATCATTAAAGACCCTCTGCGGATAGGACATGAGTTTCAGTGAGCCGAGCATGGGTGAGAGCATTCTGGGGCGTCCCGAGACTTCTTTGGCTCACACTCGACCCCCCAGGACCTCCTGCGGCCTCCTTGAGGCTCCCGAGGCCTGCAGGAGCTGCCTGGAGCCGCCTGGTAGGGCCTCGCGGAGCCTTCTCTGCCCTCCTCCGGCCGGGCGGCGGCGGCGGCCCCGGGGCGGCGGCGGGGTGGAAGGGGCGGCTGCCTGGCCGACCCTGCCGTACTCGCCCTGCTGGCGGCCTGGGCCCATGCCCAAGCCAGCCAGGCCGCCCATGCCAGGGATGGGCCTCCCGCCACGGGCCGTCTCTCGGGCCGGGCGAAAGGGGGGGATAGCAAAGGGGGGGATTTGAGAATCAGCTCACGTAACTGGAGGCGCCCATGTATCGAGGAATGGGCCCCTCGGTGAGGCCGAAACTAGCCGCATGCAGCAGATTTCGTAACCCCCCCTTTCTCAATCCCCCCCTTTCGCCCGGCCCGAGTCTCTCGGGGCGAGTCGCCGTCGCCCTCGGCGCCGCCGCCGGAGCCGCCGGAGCCGCCGCCGCCCTCGCCCGCCGCGCACGCGCGAAGGACGAGCTGCTGCCCGACGCCCCGGCGGGGTCTCGGCCGCGATCCCGCCGCCGCCTCCACGGCCCCCCCCCCACCTCTCCCGGCGCCGCATAGGCATGCCGTCTTCGAGCCCCTGGGCCCATCTGGGTCGATCCAGCTCGAGAAATGCCATGGAGGCGGGGTCGACCAGCCGAGATGCCCTACCGTGCTTCATGTTGTCGCGGCTTCGGATCACAGGGGGGACGGGGAAGAGGAGGAGGAGGAGGAGGAGGAGGAGGAGGAGGAGGAGGAGGAGGAGAAGGACGACGAGGAGGAGGAGGAGGACGAGGAGGAGGAAGAGGAGAAAGAGGAGGGGGAGGACAGGAGGAAAGGAGGAGGAGGAAAGCAGGAGGCCGCGATAATGATACGCGCGTCCTGCCTGCCGAGGGCTAAGTGTGGTCTCCGTGTTCACTCACAGAGCTACGATAGGGGAGATCTACCCCTATATGTTCATGCATTCGTTATATCGATGCATACGTGCATGCATGCAGTCATACATGTATACATAGTCATGTACATACATGCATGCATGCACACATACATACATACATATATTCATACATACATGCATGCATATGCTAATCAACTATACTATACATCCAGTCATACACATAGATGCATACATGCATACACACATAGATGCATACATGCATGCAAACATGCATACATATATACATGCATACATACATATATGCATACATACATACCTACACGTATACATACGAACATGACTACATACATACATACATATATACACGCATACATGCATGCATACAAACATACGTACGTGCATGCATGCGTGCATACATGTATACATGAACACAAACATACACGAATGCATGCATGCATGAATATATGCATGCACAACCAAAAATCAGCAACCATGCACATGCATTTACATATGCATGCATGCATGCGCATATACAAACGTATGCACATACACGTACATGCATATATGAACGCCTGCAACCATACATATATATATATATATATATATATATATATATATATATATATGTGTGTGTACACATAGATGTATACATGCGTAGGGACAGTAATGTGCACAATCATGCATGCATATATACATGCATATGCACTCATTCATGCATGCATGCATGCATACAAACATGCATGCATACATATCCGCCGATCCGGCGTGTGAGTTTCAAGGAGTCTCAGCTACAGCCTCGAGGCTGAGCCTCAGCCTCTGGGGGGGTTGCCGGGGTGGCTCTGCCGGGGAAGGGGGGGTGGGGGGGGGGGAGGGGTGCGAGTTTCCGGCGGATGCGTTTTTTGACACCCCTCACAAGGATCGTGGCCTCCGAGGGGGTTCCGAACTCGAGTACCACCCCTCCCGCACCAAGAGGCTCCGAGGAGGCCTCCAAGAGGCCCCAAGGGGCGCAGAAGAGGCCCCCAAGAAGCCCCAAGAGGCTCCCAAGAGACCCCCAAGAGGCCCTCTAGTGGCCCCAAGAGGCCCAAGAGGCCCCCAAGAAGCCCCAAGAGGCGCCCAAGAGGCCCCCAGAAGTCCCAGCCAACCACGAGATCCCAACCAGCATCCATGAGGCCTCTGACCCACCACCCACGCACGGTGGCGGGATAGGCCGACGGCCACTGGATAAATGCTGAGTGAGAGGAGGGGAGGGAAAAAGAGAGGAGGGACGAGGGCGAAGAAGGATCACATCAGTCGGAGCGCCCCGGATCGGCGGCACTGGCCGAAGGCCACTACAATATGCATTACATGCATGCATACATACATGCATGCAGACAGGCATATAGACAAACATTCAGGTATACATGCGTACATACATGCAGTCATGCAGTCATGCAGTCATGCATGCATGCATGCATGCATACATACCTTCACACATACATACACAACATTATATCGCAGTCTATTGTATTACACTATAATACATTACATTACATTACACTGCGATCCATGTCATTACATTGCATTCCCATACATCTGGGGCTGGGTTGGAGCGTCGGCAAGTCGAAAAGGCGGAATCCCCCTAAAACATCAAAACCAAAAGAATATCAATGATTGGTGACTGTTTTGGCCTCTGCGGCCGTCAGGGAACCCTCTGGGAGCGTGTGGGGCGCGGTTTGGGCCGTCAGGGAGTCTTCGTGGAGCCTCAGGGGAGTGGAGGGCCGTCTGGAGACGACCGCGGGCGCCTGGAACTAATTTTCCGGCGGCTCGGGCGCGACTCGGAGTCCTGTTGGGCTGTCCGGGACATGTCTTGAAGCGGTTTGGGGGCCTCTTGGATGCTCTGAGCGCCTCTCTTGAAGCGGGTTGCGGTGCTTCTGGGGCCAGTCTGGAACATCGGCACGCCAAAGAAGCGGAAGCTCCAAAACAGACCAAAAACCTAAGGAAACACACAATATGTTTGCCTCGTGGGGCCCTCTTGGGTGCCGTCTGGGAGCCCTTCTGGAGCGTCTGGGGGGAGTTGTGAGCCGTCGGGGAACTTTCGTGGAGAGCCTCGGGGGCATGGTGGGCCGTCAGAAAGCGACCGCGGGCGTCTGGGAGCGATTTCCCAGCAACTCGGGAGCGACTCCGTGCCCTGTTGGGCTGTCCTGGAGGCGTCCTTGGGCGGCTTTGGGGCATCTTGGGTGCTCCGGGCGCCCCCGTGGGGAGCTTCCGGAACAGTCTTGAAGCGGGTGGTTGTGCGTCTGGGGCTGGGTTGGAGGAGCAGAGGGAAGCCGAAAGGCGGAATCCCCAAAAACACGGAACCCCCTGAACAAATCCATAATAGTTGCTTGTTCTGGCCGTGGTGGGGGCCGTCAGGGAACCCTCTTGAAACGTCTGGGGCGCGGCTTGGGGCGTCTGAAGGCCCAAGAGGCCTAAAAGAGGTACATAAAAACCCGAACATGGCCCCCAAGAGCTCTCAAACTGCCTTCAATCGGCTCCGTAACTCTGGGGGGTGCCTCCTGGAGACCCCGAAGAGGGTGAAAGAAGTGTCCAAAACAGCACTCGAATGTCGAAGGTCTGGGCTTAGCTCCAAGCGGGATAGCATCTCGCTGCGAGGCAGGAGGGGGAAAGGAGAGGGAGGAGGAGGAGGAGGCGGAGGAGGAGGAGGAGGAGGAGGAAGAGGAGGAGGAGGAGGAGGAAGAGGAACGGGAAGACGAGGAGGAAGAGGAACAGGAAGACGAGGAGGAAGAGGAACAGGAAACGAGGAGGAAGAGGAGGAGGAGGGGGAGGAGGAGGAGGAGGAGGAGGAGGAGAGCAGCAGCAGCAGCAGCAGCAGCAACAGGGGAATGAAAAGAAGAGGAATAGGAACGGGCAGAGGAGACGAAGGATGAGGAAGAGCAGCGTCAGCAGAGGACGAGGAGGAGACGAGGGGGAGGAAGATAAGGCCCCACTGGCCCTCGGGAGCGCGGTGGGGGCGGCTCACGGGCCTCCCTGCGGCCGCGGAAACGGCCGCCGCGGCGGCGACGCCGTGGCGGAGCGTCAGTGTCTCCTGCGGCGGCGGAAGAGGGGGTGGAAGGGGAGGGTCTCCTGTGGAGGGGGGAAGGAGAAGGGGACTAGAAACGAAGATGTGGAAGGTGACAGATGATTTGCCGTGAAGGAACAATCTAAATCTATGTATAGCGTGTCGAGCGGGCGCGGCATCGGATCCCTGAGATCCAATACGGCAACGGCATGGACAAGGCGAGAAGCAGGCCAGGCAGGAGGACCTGCCGTTCGAGTCTGGTGCTCAAACGAACTTGTCGTGCTTTGTGAAGTCAAGCAGACAGCTGCAGCAAAAAAACTCTACTGACCGCCCTTCTCATGCACAAAGCTGCCTGGCCGCAAGGGGACAGGCTCACCTGAGTTCGACAAATCCCTGGGTTAACGGACATAGGTCCCCCGCGGCGCCGGCCGCAAAAACGTTTTACGGCGCCCGTGGAAGGGATGGAGGTACCCCCGCTAGAGCCCGCGGGACAGGCCGAAACAGGCGAATACATCTCCCCGCCTGTATACGGCGAGACTATTCAGGAGCATTGCCACAGCAACCGCGAGCTGCCTGGACACGGCCCAAGCAACTCCGCTCACTTGAATGCTCTACTCGTCAATCTCGCACGTGGGTGCCCGCGTGCGTTGGAGCCCGCATCCCACACCCAGTGGGCAAATCCAGCTTTCGGAAAGAAAGCTCGCATCCCACCCCCAATTGGCCAATGCGGCTCTTGGATGTATATCCGCTTTCCGACTCCGCGTGACCTCGTGATGCAGTCACAAGAGTCATCTCATATTTTCTGCGTGGGTGAGCAATGCTGTGAGCGCGGGGCGGCCTTCTTCAGCTTCTCGTCGCTGTACTTGACCGCGGCGTGGTCGTGGCTGATCTAGCTGACCACCCTCTGAGGACTAGCTCTCGGCCCACGCTGCCTTGGGTCATGGGGTCGGCCCGCATGTCCCGAGTGGCGCAGCAATGCAAGTCGTCGATCTGCTTGGAGCGCAGTTGGTCGGCTCACCGCCGCGCGCGGCCAGCCGCGCCTTTCTCGGACGGCCAGATCGGGCCCGTGAGCAGGGCGCGGAAGACGGACGCGCCGTCCACGACGAGGTCCGCAAGGATCGCGCCACCTCCTTCCCCCTCAGCCCCCCGATCTCCTCGGCGGAGTCGGGGCCGCGCACCATCTCGCGCAGCGCGAGGGGGGGGCGCCCGCAGACCGTCTGCCGCGCCGCATGGCGCGAGCAGCTCGGGGCCGAATAAGGAT